AAAAAAAAAAAAAAGAAATAAAATCACCTTGGAATTTACTCCTTCCTTCCTTCCTTCTTTCCTTCCTTCCTTCTTTCCTTCCTTCCTTCTTTCCTTCCTTCCTTCCTTCCTTCCTTCCTTCCTTCCTTCCTTCCTCCTTCCCTCCCTCCCTCCTTTTCTCCTCCTCCCCTCTCTCTCTCTGCAGATCCTAGCAATACCACTTCAGTCTGGTGCATAAAGAGGGACTATAAATTTAGTTATACATCACCTCTGGAGGAAGTAGTTATTTGAGTCTTAGTTAATAGCCAGCAGTGCTAATACATTAGCAGATAAGGTTTCAGTGAAACTCTGCTCACAGTTGGTTTCATCTGTTGGGGCCTGGAGCCAATCAAAATGATGTTTTGCCCCTGGAAAACACTTGTTCATTGTTACCATGTACCAGCAAATTAGCAGGCAGGTAGGTATGCTAGAGGGAAAAGCCTGAATTTGGAATCCAAGCCAGTTACAGAAACCAGAATAAGCTAATAACTGTGTAGGCGTTTTGAACCTTCAGATGCGGAACTGCCATTCTATGGAGTGAATTTGTGCTTTGAATTTGTGGAGTGATTTGTGCTTTCCTAAAATGTACAGAAGTTGGTGAGAGGAATTTCTGTTAAGTGAGGGGTACCTACAGGCTCTTCCTGCCATTGACAGCACAATTCCCTTTTGCATAGTCCTCTCACTTTTATGATTTGTGATCATGAAACTCAACAGTCCTTCAGCACATCTTTGTCTCCTCATTCCCCTGATCAAATGTACACAAATCATGATGAGGCTTAAGCTAAAGCACCAGTTGAGATGGGAATTTACCGGATCCCCTATATTCACCAGTCTTACTATTTCCTGTGTGTCAGAGAAGCCACTCATGCTGGGTGTTCACTGAAACATAAACAATTCCAGCTGTGACAAAACACACACACACACACACACACACACACACACACACACCAGTGTCCCCTGAAGGAATTAGCTACTGACCGCTCCACCCAGAATCTGAACAACGTCACTTCAACAGGCACCCTTTAAACTATGGTTGGATGGACACACATCCTAAAAGTAAAGGAGTAAGCAAACTGGGTTGATTTTTTTCTATTTACTATTTTATTTTAAAACATTCTACCTTAATTTGATTTGGCTGCGCAAAGTAGAAAAACCTTAACTTCAGTGTACTTTCTTTACTTCAGCAGTAGTCTTACCTTATTTCTGAAACTCGTGTGAAGAGGCAGTGTGCTCTTAACGAGCACTTGCGTGATAGGACTGAATTCGTACACACAGGCCAAGCGTCAGTCACAGCAAGTGGGAAGTTTAACTGCTGAGTACTAGGAACAGATGTTTTGAAATACTGTGGTCTATTCCATGAGAAATTGTGCCCTCTATTGGATAAAAACTGTTAGGACAGTCAAATGTGAATAATGCACTTAATAGGTTGAGTGGAAACATTATGGATTGCAAATCTGTACCAAAAAAAAGAAGGAGCAGGAAGGGGAAGGAAAAGAAAATCAAGAGATGGATGGAGAAGGAGGAGAGGGAAGTGAAAGGGGATGAAAAAGGAATTAAGATATATTATGTGTGCTACCAATTCCACACAGGGAATGTGGATGTTGTGTGCTACAATCGTATACTAGCTTAAAAGAATGCACACAGTTTTGTTACAAAGATGATGGAAAAGGAAGAGAAAGACCAGATGCAAAAACTCTTGCAAAGACAGTGTTCAAAGATGATTGCAAAGCAACCACTGTGGAAATCATGTGGCGGTTCCTCAAAAAATTAGGACTAGAGATCCCATTTGACCCAGCTGTTCCCCTTCCCCTTCTTGGTAATCTTTTTAAATGTATTAAAAGCATCATACCACAGCAATATATGCATACCCATGTTTAAAGCACCACAGTTTGTAATAACTAAATCTTGCAAACAACCCTAATGCCTACCAACTGATGAATAGATAAAAAACATGTAGTTTTAAAAAATATAATGGAGTACTACTCAGCCATAAAGAAGGATAAACTTGAGACATTTATAGCTAAATGAATGAACCTTGAGACCATATTCCTAAGTGAAATAAGTCAGACAAATGTTTAAATATGGTATTGCCTCTCTGGTGTGAGAAACTGAAAGTGTAAATAAAAGCCAAAATGTATAACAGATATTGTGAATTAGGAAGAATTTATTCAAAAGAAAGGGGGAACAAGGGAGGGGGGAGGGGGAAAGGAAGGGAAAAGAAAAAAATGAGAAAAGAAGGATAAGATAGGAACAAAGCTTTGTAAATAAGGAGGGGAAGAGAGGTTGAATGGAGGGGAGGGGAATGGGGAAAAAAAGAGGAATCAAGATATATAATGTACACGTACAAATTCCCTATGATGGATGTGATCAGTACGTATATCTACAGGGTCCCAATAAACTTAATTAAAGAAAGATGATTGCAAAGCAAACATAGCAATTGAAAGGTCAAGAATTAGGAATCTATAGTTTTCTTTCAATCAAAATCTGTTAAGGAATTTTACCCAATTTTAAACTACAAATAATATCTTTCTTTTTCTTTCTTTCTTTCTTTCTTTCTTTCTTTCTTTCTTTCTTTCTTTCTTTCTTTCTTCTCTTTCTCTCTCTCTTTCTGTCTCTCTCTTTCTTTCTTTTTTTCTTTCATTCTTTCTTTGCAGTACTCGGAATTGAACCCAGCCAGGGCCTTCACACAAGCTAGTTCCCAAGACCTTCTTTAATTTTTTATTTTGAGGCCAAATAATGCTAAGCCACTAAATTGCCCAGGCTATGCTTGAACTTGTGGACCTCCTGCCTCAGTCTCCCTTAGTTCTGGAACTACAGACATGTGCCACTGTGCTCAACTACAAAGTAGTATCTCTTTGGACCAATACTCTCTAGGAAAAAACTTGTCTTCCTTTAGAGACTGTAAGTTTTACTTGGGTAAAGACAAATTGTCCCTCATGAGGTCCTTCGGCTTGGATGGAGGTGATCCCAAGGGCTGGTTTCTGTCAGATTTAGGAGAATACACAAATGCATTTAAAGATCTTAGGAGGCATTTTGAAAATTTCCTTCATTTTTTTCAGTCACACATCGTGACAAACTTGTCTGTTACAGTGACCTCTCTTTTTCACCAGCCCTTTCTCTTCTCAACTCACTGCAGTGCAGTTCCCTGATTCTCTCCCCACTGGGACATCACAGACAGAGGTGAATGGCTTGTGCCATCTGATTTAGTAGGTGTTTTCAAGTCTTTATCTTTGTTGCCTTTACTTTTGACATAGTTGCCCACTTTTCTCTCATGAAATTCTTTCTTTCTTTGACTTCCATTGCTTGGTTCACATATTCTTTGAAAATTGTATATATTTTAACTTCTAATTTCTTGTGTGATACTGGGAATTGAATGTAAGGTCTTTGAACTGAGCTATGTCTCCAGCCTTTTTTACTTTTTATATTGAGACATTCTCTCTAAGTTGCTTATACGAGGCTCAAATTTGCAATCCTTCTGCCTCAGTCTCTCGGAGCACTGGGATTACAAGTGTGTGCCATACCCGGAATATTATATGTATCTGTATAAGGTGCTTGAAAAACACTTTTGGGAAAGTGAAATTCTGTAAAGCCTAAGGAATGCTGTTTTTAATATTGGCATGAATAGATGAGGCAAGAAATGTAAAAGAAAATATTGGAAGATGAATAAAACTTACTGGTGCATGTCATAGGAGACACACATTACTCAAAGGATCCTTCTGCTGACCAAGTAATTATGAACTAAATCTAGGTCTGTCAAAGGACTATGCACTCTGGAACTATAGAACAAAGAATAGATCAGGGAAGAAGTCCCTGTGGAAATGACCTTGGGCTGACGCTTAGGAATGGAGTGGATGACTTCAACATGGACACGGGAGGGGAGCCTGGCGCATAGATCCAGTAGTATGTGTGGAGACCCTGGTGGGAGCATATACCCTCAGGCTGCATTGCCTCGGCATCTGCCCTTTGCCCCATTTCTTCCTGGTTGCCCAGTGAGCATTTGGCACCTGCAGATCAAAGCCTTACGTGTCTTTGCATCCTATGAGGACAGCGGGTAGTAAACGCTCAATGAATATTTCTCTATTTCACCTAAAGAATTGCCTTTCCACCCTCTTGTTTCTTTACAGGTACCGGAATGTACACTCAAAAATACCATACTGATTTATCTTAGAATGGGTTGAACGAATTAGTCTTTTATTCTCAAGTAGTCTCATTAGAAGATAATTCTGTGAAATGTATTAGGAAAATAGTACATCAAGAGGAGAACAGTTTTTATCTCTTAAAAACATGAACATTTGTAAATATGTGG